AAAAAACCTCAACTCTGTTTCATCGATCTTTTGTGTTTTTTAAAATCTCAATTTCATTGATTTTGGCTCTTATTTTAATAATTTTCTGTCTCCTACTGATTTGGCTGTTGTTTTGTTCTTCTTTATCTAGCACCTTGAGATGTAATTTTAGAGTATTTATTTGGTGTCTCTCAGTTCTTTAAATTTATGAGCTCAATGCCATGAACTTTCCTCTTACAACTGCCTTCATACTGTCCCAGAGATTTTGAAATGTTGTCTCACTATTCTCATTGACTTCTAAGATTTCTTTTTTAATTTCTCCACTGATTTTCATCTGCTATCCCTTCATCATTCAAACGGGCATAATTTACTCTCCAAGTATTAGAGTGGTTTATGTTCTTATCATTGATTTTTAATTTCATTCCATTATGAGCTGATAGAATGCAGGGAATTATCTCTATTTTTTATATTTGCTAAGATTTTCTTTTATTTCCATCTTCTTAATGGTGTTTATCACACAGAAAAAGGTTTTAGTTTTGATGAAGTCCAATTCATCAGCTTTTCTTTTTTTAATCATGTTTTTGGATGAAGTCTGAGTTTCAAAAATTTTTTGTTATCTTCTGGAGGAGTTGTAGTCTTTTGTTTTGCATTGAAATCTATGATACATTTGGATTGCTGTGATAAAGGCATCAAGGTTTAGGTACAGGTAACTTTTCTCCCTGTAGATGTCTTCTTGCTTGAGCATCATTATGGAAAAGGCCACGCTCCTTCAGTGGTTTATGTTACACCTCTGCCACCAATCTGCTGGCTGTCCTTGTTGGGATTTTGTCACCAGTCTGGTGGCTGTACTTGTGTGGGATTTGTGTCTTCCTATCTGTTGGCTCCATTCTGTTTCAATTATCTAAGCATCTACTCTCCCCGTAGCACAAAGAAAAAAGAATGCAGACAGAAGGCAGCAAAATAGATCTGTTTTCTCTAAAAATGAGAGAAGTGATTGCTTAAATGGTCTATTTTTGTCACACTGAAATATTTTCATTGCATGTTAGATTATTTGGTCTTTATCTACATCATATTTCAAGAGGTATCTAAAAGCACCTACCTTAATTTTAGGAAAGATGCGTCTTAAATTCTACCAGTTATGGCCTGCTTGCTTTTCCGTGGTAGTGGTAATGACATTTATCAACTTGGCCAGTCAACGACATTTTACGAATTTTTTTACATTTTTCAATGTGTTAGTGAGACGGTGTGTGTGCCTTTTGTTGGATTTGAAAACGTGATGGTCTTCATCTGGGCTATCAGTCCGGCTAGGCGAGTCCTCGGGAGCATGGCTTTTCTATACAGATAACTGTTTACAAACAGAACTGTGTTTTCCTCCTCCTGAACACGTTTTGTGCCCCTTACCTCTCTTCCTTTTTCACTTTTTCTATGCTGAAATCTTCAATTCAAGGTACAGTAGAAACAATGACAGCAGGCCCTTTTTTTCTGAAGTTTGGTGGATGTCTTAAAATAAGGTCATTCTTCCTTCCACTGGCAAAACGCTCATGCCTGTCCACTTTGCTAATCTGCACGCAGGTAGGCATTTGCCTGGATCCTTCTAAATGAGATTGACCTGTAGCTCTCCTTTTTGATTGTGCCCTCATTTGGTTTTATATTAAGCTTTTGCTAGCTCTAGAAAATGAATGGAGGTAATTAACATCTTTATTATATAAAAGAATTGGGTAAAAATGCAAGTTTTCCATCCTTAAATGCTGGAAGAATCATTTCAGCCATATTTCTGATCTTGTTTTTATAGTTGAGTGTTTTCTGTTTGTTTGGGGGAATAAACTGGTTTAATTACTATAACAATATCAATCTATTCAGTTTCTCTGTCTTTTCCAGTCCCATTCCATTAGTTGTATTTTACTAGGTAGTGTAGGTTTCTCATGTCTTTCTTCACTTTTGCTCTTTGTGGTTTCATTTCTAATTGTTTTATATTTTCCTCCTCCTCCTCCCCCTTCTCCCCTCCCTGCCCTCCCTCCCCTCCCCCTCCCTCCCCTTCCTCCCCTCCCTGTCCTCCCTCCCCTCCACTTCTTCCCCTCCACCTTCCCTCCCCTTCCTCCCCTCTTCCTCTTCTTCGTTAGTATGTGCTTCTTTTCTTTTTCTTTTTTACCTTTAGGAGGTAATTTTCTGATATTTTGCTCATTGATTTTTTGAAATGTATTCTTTTAAATATACACTTAAAACTGTAAATTTATTTCTATGAGCTGCTTTAATTTAATCCAAAAAAATTGATATGGATGTTTTTTGTCAGTGGATGATGGAAAATATTTATTTCTCTGACTCTCCCTTTATTGCCCCACACTTTGTTGAGAATCAGCTTTTGTAAATTCCTGAACACTTTGGGGGTGAGGCTCCATTTCTATTGTTGACATTCCACTCTTGACTGTGTTAAGACGCTGCCTTTGTATTTTCTCTCTTCTGTTTTGAAATTTGATTTGTGGTCTAAGACATGGTCCATTTTATAAATCATCCAATGTTTCTTGGGAAAAAGTCTGTTCCTGAAAATTGGATGCAAGTTTTTAGAAATATCCTTTTAGAATTATCTCTGCCCTCAGTCATGCTGTCTCCTAGATGTAGCAATTTGGAGTGATTTGTGTAGAAGTCCTTGACACTTAGCGGGCCATACCTAGACGGGGATCTTCACTCCACTTGAGATGAGGGTTTCTAGAATGCACAAGCAGAAAAATTCCAGGACTCCATTTTCTTAGTGGGTTTTCTTTCTTCTTTATTTTTCTGGTTTGCTATGATATAAAGCTCTGAGGCCGTGCTGCTTAGGGCCTTGCTAAGTTGCCAAGTCTGGCTCCAAGTCTGGCGATACTCCTGCCTCAGCCTCCTAAACTTCTAGGATTATGCTGTGCACACTGTAGTAATCATTACCTTTAGAGTATTGTCTTGCACACTGACATACATGCACGTGAATGCAGCTGATGCACCTTAATCAGACAAAAAAGTCATAATGCAAAGAAAAAGACATAATACCCAATGTATTTTCAGACTATAAAGCACCAGGGTATAGATTATTTCAAGTCAAAAGACAGGGCATTATTTAGCAAAAGAAAAAAAAAAACTTTAAATTAAGATTATAAACATGTTTAATTTGAAATTTAACAATAATGGCCTTTGGTTCTTACAAATCATAGAGAATCAGGACATTAATCTGAGAGCAACCGTCCGTGCCATTTTGACAGGCTGTGGGGGATTACTCAAGGAGTCTTGAGCTGTCCCTGCAGAATCCTTAAAGGTTAATTGGCAGTTTCCTTCTGGGACACTGAGACCTGGAGAATGGCTGTGTCATTGGATTGTCCTCCCCTGCCAGTTCCACGAGAATCACACACGTCCCTCTAGACGCCCTCTGCTTCCGTAGGTTTTTCTGGTGGCCCTGATGACTTCTGGTCACCTAATGGCAAGCTAGGACATTCACCTGATTGTGGTGAGCATCAAAGTTGCTGCAGGCCCTGCTCAGTACTAACGAGGGCCGTCTGTGGCATCTCCGTGGCTCATGACAGATGGATGCACTTGGGGTAGTCTGTCACCGCTTCAGAGTTCCCAGTGTCCACTTGTGTCAGGGTCATTGAAAAGGGACCATTTTGTGAATAGGTAGTTGATATTTCCATCATCACTTTTACAAACACTCATGAAAAGTCTTATGAAAAAATGATGGTGAAATGGTAAGCTTTCGTCAAATGCAAATAAACAAGATCCCAACACTGCTTCCTCCCCCCTTTCTCCTTCCAGTGTCTGTAAAGGGGGAGATGCACGTGAAATGCCTGTCTTTACACAATCCTGGTGTTTTGTCTTGCTTGCTCGTGGGCCTATGTGAAGCCCATCTGACTCTCAGAGCCACCCCTTTGGTCTTGGGCAAGCTTCAGGGGTTCTCAACTAAGTTTTCTTTACTTGCAAAACAGAGATGTTCATATAATAGAGCTGGTGTTTGTGAGAGTAAAGAATTGCAGCGTCGAGAAATACAGAAGGGGGACAGCATTGTCCCATCTTGTCCTGTCCAAGGAACAGGGCGCCATTCCAAGGACGAAGATGACCCAGCCTGAGACGTCTACCTCGATGGCAAGCGCCCAGCCACACAGATTGCCCATGTAGTTACTTCAGCTTGCTTGAGACTCCGGAGTATTTAAGAAAAGATCATATAAATGCTGATCTTGATCCACCCTGGTGAGCCAGATTCTAGATTTTCAGTGATTAACATTCATTTTCTGCCAACAGGGAAATTTTGGCCTAATAGTAAACACATGTCTGTAAAGTTTCATTTCAGGTGTTTTGGGTGGTGGTCAGGAAATAGAACCTTGAAGGAAAGTGTTATAAATTAACAGAATGGAAGTTCAGTGTGTTAAGCCCTATATTAGGAAAACCAAGCCCACAATAGCCATGATCCTATGCTTTATTTTGTGATGATAAAGAAAAATCTCTGTGCTTTCTCTCTTACACTTGACCATAGCTAGGGCTTTTAGAAATAAATGCCACTGATCGTGATGAAAAAGGTTCAGCAATAAATTGGTGAAAGTGACCATGTTGGGATCCAAACAACTGATAGGGTATGTGCACTCAATGACATTAAGTTGTATGCAAAGCCAGTTTTATTACGGTTCGGTGTTCTAGGAGAACTGGAATGACTTAAATGCACAGAGTGTAGTTAGCATTATTTAGTGAGAAGAAGTTTAAAACAATGGGCAACACTTAGACCTTTGACGTAGGTTTACAAAATTAGGAAAGGATGGTTAGTGATTATTGAACCAACCTATCTATGTCTAATTCTGTGATGGGATTGTCACCATGTCACCAGCTGAGTAAGACATCGGCTCTGCTTGTGACTCCCATCTGTAAAGAGGACTTTGTGTGTGCATGTCAAGCACAGAGAACTGAACTAGTTTGTGCTTGTGCCCTGGGTGGTTTGAAGTCAGGTGTGCCCTGGAGCACCACCCGAGAGCAGGTCGAGTGACTCCCGCCTTCCGTCTGTTCCAGGTTGCTTTCAGCTATGTAACGTGTTTCGATCCCATGAGATGGAAATTGACCAGTGCCTGCTGGAGTCCCTTCCCCTGGGCCAGCGGCAGCGTCTGGTGAAGCGCATGCGCTGTGAGCAGATCAAAGCCTACTATGAGCGCGAGAAGGCCTTGCAGAAGCAGGAAGGGTTCCTGCGGAGGCTGAGGCATGGGAAGCACCAGAAAGTGCATTTCAACCTCGCCGACATGATCCAGGACGCCATCATCCACCACAACGACAAAGAAGGTGCGTGGCGTGGGGTGAGGCTTCCCCTGTGGTGGGTTTCTCATGGTGGGTTCTGGTTGGGTCTGGGTGGAGGATGGGAGATAAAAACCCTCTTTAAATATTGGAGCATGCTTTCTTTTCACTGTCTGAAATATTCAAGGGGGAAAAAATCGCTCTGTCCAAAGAACATTTATCAAAAGTCGCAAGTATCCCCAAAAGATGAAAAACGTGGAATCGTTGAATTTTGCTTTTTTAGAGTATCTGAAAAGCAAGTGATTTCTTTCCAAATCATTCATTCAGATTGTTAATGAAATTTTTATTTATGAAATTGCTTCCTTTGATGATTCTGACTGTGAAATTCATTGGTGGTCAGCTCCTACATGATAGATAGGTTAGTAAAGTCAGTTCCCTCAAAACTCTCAGGACGTTAATAGTCACCTTATCCAGAATTCATCAGAGCAGGTTCCCCTGTCTTCTAGGAGTTTAAAGTTCAGGTCTTTGATCCAGGTTCATTGCCTTTTGGGCAGGTGGGAGGGGTGGAGCTTCTGTCTTCCCAGTATGGGGATCCAGTTTCCCCGCGTGCAGTGCAGACACCGCCCTTCCCCAGGTCTGATGGGGTCCTGCATGGAGGACCAGGTCTCTAGTAAGGGCTGATTTCTGATCTTATGTTCTGTCCCGGGGCCTGTGTGTTTTTGTTAGTTCAGTGCTGTTGTCCCTCCTGCCCTCTGTGGTCTGCCCAGAGGTCCAGTATCGCGAAGCTGCCAGCTGTGTTCATTTCAACCCGGGCTGCGCTGAATTTGTCTGGCTCCTGGTGCCACACGTTTCTAAGGCTGTCCAGTCTGAATCTCAGCTGTCTTCATAGACGGGGGGCTTTTCCCAGATTCCTGTGCATGAATCTTGTTTCTGGTTAGAACCTTCTCGCCTGGGTTCTCGTGTGAGGGAACTGTTTGAGCTCTGCGTCTGGGCGAGGAAGGCCTTGAAGAAACAAACATAAATTGATTCACCTTGGTTGGCTCTAACACCAGCCGTTGGATTAACGTAGGTGCTCTTCACAATGCATTGAGCGCAGTCTGAAACTCACAAAGCTCTGAAACCAATTTTTATTTTTATGTAGCTCATTTAGTGGCAGAACTTTCCCTGACCTGGTTATGTTTTTTAACTTGTTCAATATGGAAAAATCATAGATCTAATAGCCTATGTGGTTCCAAGGCTGTCACACAGGGATTGTGAATCTGTACCTAAGAAAGCAGCATGTCATATACAGTAATAACTATAATGAGGCTCGAGTGTTTTTTTCATGATTGGGTGTGGGCTTGCTGGTTCAGTAGAGTCCTGGGGAGCTCTGCTGTACATAAAGCACAGTGGAGTGGAGTAGCAGAACTCTGAAGGGGGTGGCCTGGCAGGACCTGCAGGATCATCCAGACCAGTTCCCTGAGCCCTGAGCTCGGGCTCCGCCCTCCTCCTCTGGGAGGCTGTCAGGCTCTCCGCCTCCCCGCCTGGGGTTCTCTGCTCCCCTGTGGCTCTTCACTTAACTGACACCTCCTCTTGGAGTCCATAAGCAGGCTGAGGGCAGGGACAGTGTCCCCTGGACACCTGTTCCCTCCTGCCTTTGCCGTTCCTTCCGGGAGAGTGGGGGAAGAGGCTGGGGCAGCCGTCCTGCCTCGCCACAGGGGTTTCCCGGCCAACACTAGGATGCGGGTCTTTACGCTTAAGCCCTACGTTGACCTCGAACTAAGGAAACAAAAAATTGTAAAGTTCTAAAGTCTCCTGTGCAAAATATCTGCAGGCATTGGGAAATGACATCTAAGTTAAGGTTAAAGAAACTGAGTAGCCAAGTGATGGACTCGGAGCCCTGTGGGCAGCTGGTGTACGTTTATATGGTGACGTCTGGGGACTGTCCTGTCAGACCACCTGAACTCACCCTTGTAAGCAGCTGCTGTTGGCAGAACTGTGCTGTCACCTTGGTGCTCACAGAGCAGGAAGAGGTGTGGACCCCGCCCTCTAAATTTTCCAGTCTAGATGAGAGAGAATGATAAACCTGGAAACAGAGGACACGGCTGCTGGGTGACCGTGAGTGGGAGGCTGGTGGGCTGCGTCCGCTGGGCCGAGCTCCTCCGAGAACCTGGTTGCTGAGGCTGTGACCTTGACGCTTGCTTAGATCCTGAAGGCTCGAGAAGAGGGAAAAAGAGCAGACTGCACGGGCAGCGGCCAGCAGCTGTGCAGACCTGGTGCCCAGGGGAGGCCTGTCTGGAAGGAGCAGGAAGTGAGGAGGGGGTCCCCTAAGGCACGCTTGCGAGGCGTGAGGTGATGGGGACACACAGGGTCTGGTTTAGTGCTGTTGTCCCTCCTGCCCTCCTGTGGTTTGCCCAGAGGCCCAGTATCGGCAGGCTCCTAGAAAGACATGGCTACCCCGCAGGTGGCTGTTGGTGAAGGTCCATCAGGGCTGTTGAGATGTACGGATGACTGAAGGGTGGGATCAGAACTGAAGCAGGTCCCCCCACGGGAAGCAGTCACTTCACTGGGAGGAGAGTGAGCAGAGCTGTTGCCGTGGGAACAAGGTGAAGGACACCCCAAGGTGACAGTCCAGGGAAGAGAGTGTCAGCTTGCCCAGTACGTGCTGTACCCTGGAAGGGCATCTGTGAGGGAGGCACCCACAACCTGGGCCACTGGGCTGTGCCGTCGGCGTGGTGGAGGTAACCACAGCCAGGCAGGTGCTGTGGACATGGGGACGCCGCCCTGAGGACACCAGAGCCGATCATGCAGACGTCTGGGGTGAGCGCCTGCTGGGCGATGGAGGGGCAGCAAGACCACCAGTGTAGAGGGGCCAAGTGGGTGAGCAGGGACAGGAGGAGGGCACTGGCCTGGAGGAGTGGGGAGGTGCATGCAGAGGGCCCTGGCTCTTGTGTGCAGGGGGCTCTGACACCACTGGATGTTGGGGACAAAGAGACTGAATGCCACCTCAGAGTTAACGGGTCAGCGGGTCTGTGTGGGGTGGACCAAGGACTTTGAGGCCAGGAGCAGAGAGCTGGCAGGAGGCGAGAGCGTGGCTCGGCCCGGAGGGGAGCTAACGGGGTCTCTGAGGAGAGAGCAGGCGGGAAGTGCTGGATGACTGGCTGCGGGGAGGTATTGATTTTCTATTGCCTCCAGGAAGATCACCCAAGTCTGGGCATTGAACAGGGCGCACGTGTGTCCCCCACAGTTGTGTGGGCCAGAAGCCAGGCACGGGTCTCCCTGGGAAGAAGGCAGGGTGTCCTCAGACCTGCTCCTGCCACTTCAGCTTCCAAGGCCACGGCCTTAACTGACCCCAGCCTGCTCTGCCGTGGTCACTGCAGCCGAGGTGGATCCGGCTCCTTCCTGCTTTGCATTCCGCCCTTTTCCTTTCCCACCTTGCAGCTTTCTGACCAGCTCTTCTGCCAGCCTCATCCATTTTTAGGGCCCCGTGTGAGGACACTGGCTCACATGGACAGTCCAGCATCTTCTCATTGCTTTCAGGTCATTCTTTAGTAAATACAATTTGCTTTCCCCAGAAAATTCAGTGCATTCCATAGGGCACGACTTGGGAGCCAGAGTCCTGCTCACTGTAGGAATAATGGGCTTAAAGATAGTGCCAGGGGTCAGGCGCAGTGGTGCACACCTGTAATCCCAGTGGTTTGGGAGGCTGAGGCAGGAGGATCACAAGTTCAAAACCAGCCTCAGCAAAAGCGAGGCTGTTAGGGAACTCAGTGAGACCCTGTCTCTAAATAAAATACAAAACAGGGGTGGGGATGTGGCTCGGTGGTTCAGTGTCCCTGAGTTCAATCCCTAGTGCCACACACACACACACAAAAAGACAGTGTCAGTTATTTTCGCCTGAACAACTAGAAGGATGGAAGGCACTGACAAGTCGGGATTCCTCCGGGAGCCCAGGTTGAGAGCGGCAGGCAGCGCCTCACTGGCTGGGGATCGAGAGCCGAGGCTCCTGAGCCCAGAGATGGTACGGAAAGCCAGGGAGCAGGTCCACTCACCCAGGGAACAAACTCAGATACGATTTGAACCCAAGGCTGAGAGCTGAGGATCCCAGTACCAAGAATTCCCTGAAACGCGGCAGAACCACAGACACCGGGAAGAAAGGAGGAAAATGAGGTCAGGTGCTTTCTTGGGTCAGTGATGGGGAGCTTCCAAGGAGGAGGGATGGGTCAGTTAGGCCAGCTGCTGCGGCCCAGGTGGATGGAGGTGGTTAGTTCAGGTGAATCACTGGGAAGGTGTGACACCTCCAGGGCTGGGAGCAGAGTGGGGAAATGGAAATGGACCTGGAAAACGCAAGGACTCTTTCACGGGGCTTTCTGTGAAGATGAGAGAAATGGAAAGACAGAGTGGGAGGAGGAGAGGTCAGGGTTGTTTCAGGTGTGCGCTGAGAACACAGTTCATCTGAGAGGGACGAGGGACGGACGCTGATGACCTGGAGTACCAGAGCTGCGAGGCTGCAGCAGACCCCACCAGACCTGGTCCCACGTGGCCGGCGTGGCTTCGGCTGGGACATGCATCCTGGTGGCCCCAGCCCTGGCCGCTTGGCCGGTCCTCTAGAGAGCTCTAGTTTACTCTCTGTGTCTAGGCCCCACCTTGGGGTCTGACTGGATCAGCCTGAAGTGGGCAGTTTTCAGAGATGCTGGGAGACAGGGTCAGGGTGGGGGGTCAGGGTGGGTGGGGGGCGGCCCAAGGCAGCTCCTCCTGGTGAATCTGGTGGGAGAACCAGGACTGTCCACTAAGATGGGGATGGAGCCCAGGAGCTGCAGGGTAAGGAAAGAGGAGAAAGGGTCCGAGTGTGAGATACACGGGCAGAGAGATGCAGTATGGAAGGACTTACAGGAGAAATGGGATATAAAAATACAAACTGAAAAGGAAGGTCAGCGTGACTCAGTGGTTTCAAAAAGGGTCTGGCATCATCTTCCTACCCGAATCCTATAATCCTATAGCTTTCCTGACACAGTTTGCCCTTGGGTTTCCGTCACAGACATCATTCCACATGGGTACTGAGGTGCCAT